AAGGAAGGGGTGACCCATTCTATGCCGGGGCATAGACGACGAAGTGTGGAGTTAGGAGTACTAATGCATGAGAAGAATAAATAAAGTCTTAGACAGTTGACAAAACATCATTAACGCAGGCATTACGAACCAAATTACTCGCAAAAAACTGCTAACATGCATTAGCGTTTGCTATGCTAGAACAATCCAATAACGCCCCACTGTTAGATAAGGTCACTCTTCAAAAGAAGTAAATATTGATCTACTCTTACCATGCTGGTCAAGCGGTTTAGTACCCTTGATACCCTATAGATGTTATTTTTGATTTTTTTCTATTCCTTTAGGTTATATATACTGAATTTCTATAGTAAATATTTAAATAAATAAAATAAAAAGAGTTCATACTACCGCAAGGTCCAGTGAGATAAATTTGCTCTTATATACATAGGATTACATAATTAATATACATAGGCAGTATATTTATCTACATATGTTTACGCCAAATACCTAATAATGTATAATATAGCATATAAACTGAGTACCAAAAGCATCTGTCCTTACACACATCTCTTGCTTAATCCACTTTCATAACGCGTCCCATACGTACACGCCAGTTAGAAGATTCTTGGCAGCCACCTCAGATAAGCACGGTCAGTCCGATCATAAAAGGTTAGTTTGGGCTCCCCCAGTACCTACATCTATCCACTTTCACATTGTGTATCTGATTATTATTAATGTATTATTTTCTATTTACTATTGTTAATCTGTTATATATCCTTGAATATATGTAACAGATCCGGTGACGTGAACGGGTGTCGTATACCGGCCGAGCTTGACTCACCGCAAGGCGATCCCGACTGCAAGGTAACTTGCACTGTTAGTATAGATTTTAATGATGCTTACAAGGGCAAGCCAGCTGACGGTCCATCTGATGGAAATTGATTATCGTCGCGTATAGAGATGAACTATACTATATTGATACATGCTTCATAACTGTTTTGTGTAAATTACTACCAACAGCCCCTTAAGTCAGGGCAAACGCTGTTATATATTATTTACAGGTTTATTATACATATAAAGCAACTTTTTGTTCGAAATTTTAAATTTAGATATATGATGTCGTGGACTTTTTTGTAAAGCTAAAAGTAATGAATATTTTTGCTGTAGATTTTATTCCTTTATTTCAACCCGTTTAGGTAGCGCACACACGGTTAGGTAGCGTAGAATTTTTGCTGACTTCAATTACATTTATTTTGATTAATAATTAAAAATATATACCAAAATAAAAAGTAGTCTATAGTACTCGAGGATAATATACCTTTCTAACAGTGGAATAATTTTCAAAATTAGATCAGTGACACCGGAGATTTCTCCGAACATCCAAACTCACAAACTACCTCTTTATAATATTAATCATACATATATAAGTATAGATGTAACAAATTTAATTCAAATACGTCGAGTGGTTTCAGTAAGAAACGGCAAAATATCTTTACTAAGTGGTTAGTCAATTAGAACTATTTTATGTAATTCTGCTACCATTAATATGCGTGCGATTATTAAACTACTGTTAGTAGAAGCTTTGTAATAAGTAATTTAGTAAAAAATCTTTACAAAGTTTGATATTCATAAATAAGTTATGATATGTTATGGAGGTTATAACATTCTAGATTTCTATACCGTACTCCTCATGAATAGCAACAATATGAGGGTGTTATGGGGGTCTCACTCAATGTTTACTGTGATAACCATAGCGCAGTTTTATGTTTATAGACGAAAGTTTTACCGTTTTCAATCAGGTGGATAGAACTGCAGATAGTTTACATTTTTTATTAAGGTGTGTAGGTTTTTTATCTTTCTAAGTTTTTTAAATGCTGTGTGATCCTGGCATAGAATGAATCACCCCTTCCTTTCCCGTAGGTGTCGTATTAAGCAACTAAGAGAACTTAATAGCCGTGCGATAGGCAGCAGTGTCCCTCAAAAATAAAAAAAAACCTAACTGCGATTGCCAAACCGCCTGCCATGCATAGCAACCATAGGCAAAACCCCCTTATGGAGGAGGCCTATCTTAAGCATTGGTCAATTAACTGCGAAAGTGACGATGTGGTGTAAAATAAAAAAATAAAAAATTTATATACATTACTGATGTCACTATACATCAGTAATGAAGTGAACGTTGATAATCTTTTGGATAAATTTTGCTTGTTCTCGTTTTCGTAAAAAATCATAAACTACAAAATGATATTGCACTATACGTAAATATGTCAATAGGTAAATACATTAAACGTATTTAACACATTTGGAGTAATATTTTACATAATATAATTTACATAAATATTTATTAGAAATTCTATTAGATTATTAGTTGTATTATTTTATGTCAATGTTCGTGTCCAACAACGATATTATGCTAATAACGCTGATAAAATATTAAGAGTGTCGTAACTTAGGTTTACTATTATAATTCAGAAAAACCTCAGTAGTCGTAACTTTGAATGTAGTTGACACAAAACTTTGTAGGCATTTAAAATCTCAGACCGACTTACCAGTAGTGGTAATACGTGATCGTAACAGTAAACGTCTAAAGTCTCGCCTTGCCACATTGAACTTAAGGTAATGCATGGCGAATTGTGGTGAAATCGAGCGTTACGTTCACAACAATAACAACAGTCCATAATCCCCCTAGCAGAGGGAGAGGGGATTATTAGCAAAGGATATTAACAGCTCCATTGCTAGAAATATATAAAATAAAATGTCAAATGGAACTCCACGCGGTCTTTCCTGGAATATTAATTGCTGGTGAATTCATCACAACGAGCTAGTTGTGATGAATTCACCACTATTTTACCTTTCCATCGTCACCCATAAAAGACTCGTAAAGGATTAATGGAGTTAATATATTTTGTACAACCGTCACTGTCACAATTACTTACTTCATTTTTATATAATAAAACAGGATCCCTGCCTGCCCTATCAGTATACGCAGGTGAGAGCACTAGTGAGTGACAATAGCTAAGGATTAGAGCAGATCAATTGACGCCTCATGACGAATTTAACAAAAATTAACTACGGTGGTTTCCAGGGGGAATCGCGTGGAGGTCATATATATATATATATATATATATATATATATATATATATATATATATCACTCACTGGTACTCATACCAACGTACGCCGATAGTATAAATGGTGTTACCATTTCACCATCACCCATTAAAAAAATCATCCTAAATAATATGAATTTAATATACTTAACATATTTTTGTATATCCACTACTGTGGCGATTACCTACTTAAATTCTATTAGACAATGTGTTATCAAGTCAGTTTAGAAATGCGGTAGTTACCGTATGGTATTTCCATAAAATGGCGCTCCCACGGCGCCAGCAAGGTGAACAGGCTATTCTTAAATTGTCGCTGAATTTAAACCCGCACCGTGAATGCTCTTGCGTAATATCGATCTATTCTCATTACTACGATTTTACTATGGTTTGAATTATTAACAAATTCGTTTCTACCGTAAAGCAGTTGAGTTTGCATGGCTGTGTTTTAGTTTGAGGGGTGGGATATGGCAGTAAATTTACAGGGTACAAAAGAATAACACCCGTGTCCTCTGAAATAGCAACGCATGGGGGATATCTTCGGCAAAGCAGTATACTCTTGTTTGGGCCATCAGCTTATTTGCCATTCTAAGTTGCATGAAAAAAACCGTAACTGCTAAGTTACTTTACGCATATTTTGTATTAATAAAATCACTAGTGAGCATATATATTACCGGTACCTAATAAATTTAATACAATATGAATCTCTTAATTATAACTTTAAGGCTATAAATTCTTACTAATATTATAAATGTCAAAGTGAGTTTTTTTTTTTTTTATTTGTTACCTCTTAATGTCTTAACATACTATATTTGTTGAACAAGGGCATAGACTACATTTTATTCAAGGCAATGAACGTATTCCAGTCACGCGAACAAAAAAACACGGGTAAAAGCTAGTGCCACTATATTTCAGTTGCCACTGAAATATATAGTATAACAAGATTTATCAAAATACATATTGATAATCCGCTTGTTGGTCCCAGCATAGAATGAGCCACCTCTTTCTTTCCAGTGATAGTCCTTCGAGGGATAGTAAGTAGTGTCCCTCTTAAAACATCAACAAAGCCTAACTATGACTTCCAACCCACCTGCCAAGCGTGGCAACTACTAACAAACCCCCCTTTGGGGGAAGCCTATGTTCAGCAGTGGACAACTAACGGTTTAAGATGAATAATCCGGGATAAAAATATAGCTTATGTCCTTCGCATTCCTAAATATTATCTGCACACTAAATTTCTAAGAAACTAAGAGATAAGAAACGAACTCACAATTATATACATTAGTGTATTAGAATACAGAAATAATATTTCTTACGAGTATAATATAACGTCTTCCTTACAACTACAATTCATATACACTGTTATCAAAAACGAACAATTAAAAACCGAACTCGATCAATCGTAATACAGTCGACGAAATTAGTGAAAAAGTACTCACTCAATATCGGCAAATATTTGTCACACAGACATTCAGTGGCTAAATTACTTACTCGAAATTTGATTAATTAAAATAATTCGATTTAAGCTTAACGGCCCACCTCATAGAGACTGTCATATAACAGTTGAATAACTTCGTGTCCGCCCATAGCATTTCATGCTTTGTCGCTGAACTTATATCCTTAATTGTCAAAGATTATACTAGAAACATTGCATTAGCATATATTGCTACTTCACAACAGGATATTTTACGGTAGTTCATGGATGTCGCACAAAATATTCGTATAAACAGACTTGGAAATATCATAATGAGCACCAAAATGTTTATAACTTTGTTTATATGATTATACCTACCTCCTACATACATAAATATTGAAATAATGTATGACCTACTGCACGCAATGGATTTACTATACGTGAGAAAACGCCAAAACATCAAATAAGTGGTTAACATTAATTAGATAAATTGAAATAATAACCAAGGTCTCAAACATAACCGTTACACACGCTAATGTTTCACGCACATTTCTAAGTTATTATCGATCATTGGTTTTACGAGAATCCAAAATAAATAATCACTTAATCGTTATTTTTATATCGATAATAACAACTTCGATACAATAATCACGGTCACTAGTTTTAACACTTATATCACCACCAAAAATATTATGTAAACTGCGTCGAATTTATTTACATAAAAAACTGTAGTTCATTTTTCAAAAATATTTCACTGAAGGAGGCCGCGCGTCTGATGCTGGGATTCGCTCACTACTAAGCTATTGTATGCAGGTGGATTGTACTACGTCCGTTTGCCTTATTATGGGCATTTTCCATTCACACAGTGAAGCAATGGGTGCGAGATACGAGTCGATACGGTCGGTGCGCGATGTCGCACTGGAGCTACCACCAGCAACTCCTTCGAGTTTTGCAAATCACATGTCAAGGCGATAACGAATTAGCATAACAAATCAATGTTTATACTTAAATATGTGCCGATGATGTTGGCGATGCTGTTTCGTATAAGTTTCTTCACGAACCGTTCTAGGCCAGTGGAACCATGCGCATCACTAATAATCGACAATTACGCCGTTATTTCGAAATATTTTTATGTGTCAATGTTTATGTCCTTCCTTAATATTCCAAGATAAGTTATATAATTTTGGTATTTACAAAAATAAATAGCTAATATTATTAGCAAATGCCTATTTAACTGTGAAAATGCTTTTATCTGATTTTTTTTGTTAGACTCCAGATTTCTATTCGGTAATAATAACAATAATCTAAATACATATCAATTTGCCAGGAAGTTACTGCAAATTGGACTAAAAGTTCCTGGTATATCTACTGCTTAACATGCTATTACAAACAGATTACACAAACAAATTATGTTTATACAAAAATAATAGCACACAGTTATGCACTTGGCTTAATCCCGTGTACACCTGTAAAACAGGTTTTAAAGCGAGTGATCCTAAATTCTAATAATAATAACTGTCTTTATTGAATTATAAATTACATTTAGTTAGATCTACTAGCCACCGAACTAGGCCGAGCCTGTATCTCAGTGGATAGTTAAATAACTTCCTTTGACTTAAATATTTATAAAAGACGTTTTCAGATAAATCGATTTTTAAACTTTTAAATTTTAGAACTGTAAATACCGTTAAAAATAAAAATAAATTCCTTGATATATAAATTGGAAAACTGTGACTTGGTAATGCATAGTAAATAACATAATACATTATTACTTAACTTTAGAATTAAACCGACAATTGTAAACATAAAAAATAAGAGAATTTTAAATCATATCTATCTTCAAATCATAGAGCGTACTTGCAAAACCCTTCAGTTCAATACTAAATATTTTAATTATGTAAAATACATAATTTTAAGCTCAACGTTATTTAAAATAATAATTACATTATTTATGTCGAAAGTTATTTTTTGCTTATATATTCCTATGGTTTGAAGCCTGCGATATTATTCACGTAATAAAAACTATGTTTACCGCTTGTAAATCCTTGTCTCCTTCGAGAATTTTTCCAGTGTTACATAAAAACAAAAACAATATCAAAAGTTCTAAGTTCTTATTTATTCAATTTAAATTATGCATTTTTGAACTCTAAATTATACTTGGTTAAATTTTTCGAACTTGTTTATTCTAATCAACAGTTTAATTATGTTGTAAAACGATGATGTATTTTTATGTTAATTCAGATTACTCTGTTATTATCTTATATCATATATATCAGGTTTACTAGTTATGTATTAAATACTATCTACAGACTAAATATTTGTAAAAGTATTTGTAAATTTAAAAAAGCTACCTTTTTTACCTTTGCGACTACTTTACTTACATGGTACCAAAGCAAATTAATTCTATGTTGTGTGTGACCATGACCCTATTCGAAGACTCAATGTATTAACATTGAGCCTTCGAATTTTTCTCACGCTTTCATTATTTTCCCTTTCATTACTTTATAACTTAAAAGATAGTTATAATTGATATATACTTAGAATACCGAAAAGGTATTCTTAAATATAATTTATTTATTTATTATTTGAAACAATAGCCCATGGTTCATATCAGAGTAAGTTTACTACAACTAATGAATATCAACAAATATATTTGCGAATTATCATTGAGTTGACAAAACATAATGCACATATTTTAAAAATTCAATGATGTTAGATTCATAACTACATAGTTGGTTGATTTACTTCAAACAATTTTTATAATAGTAAACAGGTTATATCGTGCAAGTTTATAAAATATTTTATTCGCTATCCAATAGTAATAATTTACTCAAAGTAAAGTCACATATTGGAAACAAAAAGGAAATAGTAATTCACAATAGTATATAAATTATACATACGGTTGCCAAGGCTTCCTCGTACGTGGTGGGTTGAAGTGGAGGCGACGCTGGCGGCGTCTCTCGCGAAACAGCTGTGATCGGCATTTCAGAACATCCCTGTATACCTAGAAATAAAAAATTTAAGACAACATTAAGATTATTTGGTGATATGGACTGCAATATAATGATATTAATATAAATATAAATAGTTTAATTTCTTATTTTATTATTGTAATATTTCATAGCGATAAATCGTCGCGTTCAAACGCGTGTAGGGCCACCCACAGACCCGACTCTGGGTAATTAAAGTTACGCATTATTTTATATTAGTTATTAGTTATGTTACATTTTATGTATTTTAAAATTACCATAAAATATGTATGTCATAGATACCACATTTTATTACAGGCCCTATTCTGTAACATTAATAAAGTCCCAAATGGATGTCTTCCGAAAGTTTTCAAACTCTACATGGCTTCAAATTACTTTTTATATAAATTATGTAAAATAGTCAATATGTTATACTTAAAAAACTATAGCTTAAAATATTTAAACTATAATCGTATCTAATAATTCTGTGGCCTAAGCAACGATTGAGAAACGGAACAATTTCATAGACTACAGATGTTTGAACTAATTATGAAAATTGGAATAGGTTTCACGCTGCTAGATTTGTCTGAAATTAATAAATTTACTAAATAGTTTATAAAATAAGTCATTTTAAGTGGGAAACAAGCTTACAATCCACTTGATGAAAAATGATAACCATCATCTATAAATATAACTATACACATACTTCACATAACACACTAAAGCATCTAAGGTACCATTTACGCTTTTCCATCCCAAAGGATTATGCTCTACCTTACCCTGTAATTTCACTATCACAATAAATATCGCTGCCATCATATCATTTTTTTTTTATTTGTACATTGAGATTAAATCAAAGAATGAAACTGTTTTCAGAAAATTACGTTTCAAAATCGGCCCTATTGTCTTTTATAACTATAAAAGACTTTTTCCATCCCTCAAATCCCGCTGATCTCGGTAGTGTGATCCCTTATTTGCAGTCACACAAAATAGACGTGTTTCCCGCATTTTCGGGATTGTGAGAGTGAGGTGACAGGATATTATAGTATTAGTATTATTTCGTTCGACTGAACCGTACCTCTTATAGGTATTAAGTGAGAGTAAATCACATCTTTACTAGAAGAGAATGTTTGTATCGCCTCGTGACTAAGTATCTCAGTTAGATAGTAATGATATTTTTGAAGCGATTTAAATGAGAAGGTGTACAATTAGATTATACTACTTTAGTGAGTAAATATTAATCTTATTTTGTTATTCATAAGAGTTTATTTACTTTCATCTTGATTCCACGTTCATTTCGTCACAATTAACACAATAAATATGTCATTCTATATCAAAATAATTTTACTAAATTATTTTGGTTCTGGATGTTTGACCTCTTAATTATCTTTTTTTAAAAACTTAGAACAATAAAAAATATAACGGTCAACTTAATGGAAAATAGTATCCTTCGCCTATTGACTTGAGCAGCACCGAAGATATCACGAAATACACACATATGCTACCTCATCGGTCCATTTCTGCTTAGTAAGTTATGTGTTCCTATCCTATACTGTCAATAATATACCCATCCTTTAAACTAAAATACAGCAATGTAAACATAGCTGTTCGGTAACGAAAACATGAACGCGTCGTAAGTACCTACGGAGACGACTTTTATCTTTCTCTACCACCTCTAGATAACGAATAACATATAGTTTGAGAACCAACCTTTATTTAAAACTTATTAAAAGTCTGTTTAGCACTTATTGATTAAACGTATTACCGACAATACAAAATAACGACCTTGGGCGTAAATGTGGCGACGATGTAACGATTGTATAAATACTCATTAACATAGACGACTACATACTGTGACTAACCTGTCTTGACATCACATTAACTTAGAGGTCTATTCTAATATCTACGAATTTTGTAGTTACTCATTAAATTTTAATATAAAACAACAACACCAAATCAAAATATTTTTAGTAGTTTAATCTATATTTGTAAATGGCGCTTGTGCTAGCCGTAATGTTATTAGAAAAATAGGTTAAAAAATTTGCTTGTTTGTAAATTTCCATCAATTTATTTATATTATATATACATATTTTTAACGAGCATTACAGATTTATCAATGCAATCACCAAAAACCAAAAATAAAACATTATATTAATAAATTTATGGAAAAACTGTAATTATATTTCAAAATAAAAATGTAATTCTGCATAATTTGTTACCACCCTGCGAACCTTATGGCAATACAGTGAAACATTAAACAGTTGTGAACTCGCAACTAGCTCATTCAGTAGACGTAGCTTTTAATCTGCAAAGAAATATACCTTTCATATATCTCGAATAACACTCAGGTAGGACAAATGAAAGATATGGATTCGAATCGAGCTGTCGTAATACAAAATTATTCAATCTACTATTTAGTAATGTCTTTATACCTATATGTATAACGGGACTTTTATGAACTTACTGTGTTTGTCGTTTCCGACAATTGTTTCGACTTCATCCGGAAGACTTTTTCAGGATAAGTAGATATGGTACTTTAAAATAAATTCATTGATTTCCCGTTATACATACATATACATAGAAATCGTTAAAAAATTGAAAAAATAAATAAAAACAATACTACTATTAAATATTTTTTTTACATTATATTTAAACTATTTAACACAAATTGAAAACCAACATGCAATGTATTTTTATTTTTTCAATCGACTTCAAAAATAAGAAGGAATGAAAAATTTTAATCATTAATTATAAAAATTAATTAATCAAAATAACTCTTTTTGCTACAGTTGAAGTTTTTTTTTTTAGTACACAATTTATCTATTAGCATATGCAGTCAGAGACCGAAGATTTTGAACAATTTATTGCAATAATCTAATGGATTCTGTAAATTTGTCGTGTATTGGTG